CCCCCCCCCCGCATTCTTGGCCAAATGGAGCCTCGAACATTACCACCGTGGGGGCCGATAAAGAAGATTTCCCCATTACCGACCGAGGGCTTAGCCGATTCCAGCATTGCCCTCCCCCGCAACCTCACCCGCCCGCCCCCGCCGCGCACCCCCGCGCAGATCGCTATATCCAGAACCGCTATAGTCTATCTACTAGTGTGCAATAAAAACTTACCTTGGAATGTCGCCCATGCGTAGCTTAAACCCCACTTGTCCAACACAGCTTGCACTATATTTATCTCACTGATGTCACTCATGTTTTAATTATAACTCTCGAAGCAATAAATAAATAAATGAAAAAGTACGCGAACGTTAGAAAACGCGGTGAACTAATCCCCAACTGTCAGCACTTAAGGAAAAACCTATTTGCTGCAAAGCTGCTACGCGACTGACGACTTTCCCCGCTTCTGCCGCGAAATCGAGAGAGGCGCTTATGTCGCCATATTGAACTGATGTTCGATTTTCAATCTCAAATTCTCAGGAGACAAATCTCAACAGTCCCACATAAGATCTGCGTAATATTCTCGAGAAAATACAACCTTATTTTAAATAAGGGAATGAATAAATCGATAATTGATTTTTGCATTACATTTTCCGGTTTTCAATTGTCATCAATTTCTTCAGTAACACATCATTTTCTTCTCCTAAATAAATAATACATGCTATTAAGATTCAGTAATGTACTGCAAAGAGTATTAGGATTCCGAGATGTATTGGCGCTCTATGAGTCGTGCTCTTCTTGCTCCACCAATCTACAAGTCTACCTGATGAACTGAATTCTTAAGGGAAGAATGTCAGAAATACCAGAAAGATTCTACGTAATGTTCAAAAGCAAATTTAAATTTTCCATTAATAAAAGACAAAATTGATTGAAAACTCGTTTTCGTGAGCATTATTAGTGATTACATATTTAAATAATACAGAACAACGCAACGCATAAACTCAACCTACACCTGCTCAACTCACGAACAAACATTCCAACATGAAAAACAAGTTTATTACAACATTGAAACGAGTAAGAAATACACAAAGAATGCCAAGAAAAAAATTCTTCAGAATTCTAAGAGCTAGAAAAAACTCTTTATAGACTTTTGCTCCAACCACTCACTCATTAGAGAAATATCGCCAATCAAACCTATTCACCGAAAAATGTCATTGAACATTTTTAATCATTTGTTCTTTCAATTCATCCACTAACCCGTTATAACAAATTTGAAGCATTTGTCACCTTTTTCCCTCTCCATCTCAGAATAAATGTATTTTCATCCCTATCATTCCTCATTCTCCTATTACCTTATTCATAACAATTGAATTTATAGAAAACAATTAAAAAACAATTTTATAAAAAAAATGTATGCGCTACCAAAAACCTATTGTACGGAAAGGAAAGTCCAAGAAAAATTACTGTGCCGAGCATTACAATCGTGGTGCAAAATGCTAGAATATCAGAAATTCTTTGATTCACAAATAAAAAATACTATCAATATGTCAAATTTTCTTATACACTCCGTAATTAATCATGTGTGGCCCCATAAAATTTACTAAACAGCACTATAAAATTTGAAGGTCTATCATTTTTTGTTTGAGTTTGAAAGAAAAACTGATAGAAATCCTTCAAAAATTCCTATCCAGATCGGTATTTTTTATTGTGCTCTCTTTTAATTTTTACTGTGCTACAC